GCAGGATCTCAGTGTTTGAGTTCCTATAAATACTGTTGAGGGGGTGTGGTGTATAGCCTCCAATGTTCTGGGCAGAGAGGAAGTTCCCAGGCTAGTGTGCCTTTTCTTCTTTTGTTCCTTAATTACTTGAGGGATATCTTGAGTGATTTCTTGAGTGATTTCACCTAATGACCCACCTAAGTGGTACTCAGGATATCACTCAAGAAATCACTCAAGATATCCCTCAAGTAATTAAGGAACAAAAGAAGAAAAGGCACACTAGCCTGGGAACTTCCTCTCTGCCCAGAACATTGGAGGCTATACACCACACCCCCTCAACAGTATTTATAGGAACTCAAACACTGAGATCCTGCTCTGTTCCAGTAACAAGAAGCCGAAAGCACCAGCCTGAAGATGACGAGTGAGACCTCGTCGAAACGTCGCCTAGACACCCCAACTTTTACACGGGAAGACACCCGAGGACACCAAAACCTGCATATATATATATATATATATATATATATATATATATATATTTGCTTTCGTATATATGTATATATGTATATATGTGTATGTGTATATGTATATGTATGTATATATAGAGTGTGTGTTTGTGTGTGTGTGTGTGTGTGTGTATAAGGTCTCTATTTGTAAATGTGTAAGTGAATTAAAACCAAAAGTATGCATAATCCAAGTGTGCTGAATCAGTTTCAGGCTCCTATTCTCTTCCGGTGTGATTTTGAGTACCCTTTAATTGCCATATGTTGCATATTGAAAGCAAAATCTTTGAAAGATTGTGGGAAGGATTTTTGAGAGAATGGCCATATTTTTTCATGCCACACTAAACAGGAGCATGCTGCCGGCTTACATGCTCCCCTTTCCCCTCATCTTTCCTATTCTGGTGAGAAAAGGAGTTTAGGAGCATTTGTTCCTTTAGTTTAACTGCATTTTGTCATGTCATCCAAACCAGCAAGTGTGTGTTAATGGAGACTACATCCTCCCCTCCATCCAAAGCAAAGGATTGCCCCAATGCCCAATCAGTTGTGACGATTGCTATGAGGTAGGCAAAACCACTGGATGAGGTAGGCAAAACCACCCGGTGAGCAAATTCCTACCTGGCTGCTTAAAGAACGGTGATCACTGTAGTCACAGCATAGTCATTGACCATCAGCTTAAACCTAGGGTGGGTGGGCAGGGAAAACCCCCGGAAAGGAAAAAAACAGGTAGTGCCCCAGGTGCGGGCTGCTTAAATGGGCAAGGGGCAGATTGAGGGAAGCCTACCTGCTTCGTTGGCTCCGCCCCCTGGGCCAGCCCGAGTCCCCAGCCTGCATCCCCATTTGCCAAAGCTGGGTGCCCGCTGGGATCCGTTCCTGATAGGCGGAGGGGGTTTAAGCCCCCACCGCCTACCAGGAAGGGCACTGCTGTTCAAGTTCCCTCATCAGGGCCCCAGTGAAGCCTCTGCCGTCCTGCAACGCCACTGCACCAAGAGGGGTGAGCAGACTTGCCATGCCATCCAAAACAGCAAGTGTGTGTTTTAACATTAATGGGGACTAGTTTCAGAGAGTTTGCTTAAAGCTGTAATTGCTGGAGCTGACTCATTTAAACTTGCCATTGTTAAAACGAACAACAGTCAGGTGTGCCTGCAAAAGTTTATTTGGGGGGGGGATTGCACACTATGTTGTTTGGGCCCTCTGCCCCACTTGTATTTTTACTGGGTTTGCGTGTAGTAAACCAAACCATGGCTTAATACACATGAGCAAATGTTAAAGTTCTCAGATCCTCTTCTCCAGTCCTGCTGCTGCAGTACAGCATGGGGCTGATGCATATCCAAATCTATGGTTGTGGTTTGTCTTCCTCCAGACAAATTATGAGGCAACCAAGATTTGTTCTCAGTTTATCTTTTTCGTTGTTGTTTCCACTTCTCCAAGGCTTTCTAGGCATGGGTCTGAGTGGTTTTTTGTTTATCCCATCACTTTCCCCAGGAAAACCTGCTCTTTAGCACCGAATCAGTGTGAACATCAATTGGGTTTCCTTGCTCTGATTCATGAAAGCATGGGAGAAGCGGAAAACTTCACGAAGCAGAAGTATGTGTGTAGGAATACAGGCTTGGATATGAAGAGTCATGTGTGTTCAACTAGTACTGCTTTTTTGTCTTAGTTGTTGAGAGTCTGGAAACTTGAAAACTAATATTGCATAAATGTGTATTACTGTGAATGGAATTTGGAAATTTGGGAAATGGCTTCATTCTTTGAAGATATTTGGACACATGCTTTAAGTGGAAAAAGCTTTGATATCTCAGTTTTTTCATAAACCTGAACTATCTTTCCATGATTTATAGTAAGGATGTATTGAGGATATTAAAGGGCCCACAGTTCTCTAGTAAATGTTTTTTGTTGTTGAAAAGTAGGTTGTTTATACTATGCAAGTTATATTCTACAGTCGTTTTAATTAGCAGGACACTCAGCTCTACTTATAGTGATATAAACTATATCTACATAGTGATATAAGCACTTTCTTGATTAGACTGACAGCAGTTAAATAACATGTAGCCTTTTTTGTTTACCTGTGAGCGACAATAAATTATCATTTTTTCAGATCATCACAATTGATTGATTGAATTGTGATGGAATTAAAACTGTATATGTTAGGCTATATTGCCACCTAATGGCATAAGAGTAATTGCTTGCATTTTCCCTTCAATATTTTCCATGTTGCGTGCTGTGGAACTTTGCAATTTCCCAGTGAGAAGGTGAAAACTGGTGGACAAACAGTTTGCCCACCATTACTGCTCTTGCCCTACAGTGCACAGCTGCAGGTATGTGGTTCATGCAGGGCAAGGAGGAACTATGTGTGCCCATGAAATGTCCTTGGCACTGAACAGGGCCTCTTTGGCAGCTTAAATCTAAAAATGATTGTAAGATGTAGGAAGCTTGAATTAATGTTGCAGTTGAAGAAGTGCAACGTGTCTTAAGCTTTTATCTGATTTGCTTTCAAAATAATATCTTAGAGAATTTCAGGCACGTTCAAAATATCTTTCTTAAATGCTTTGGCTTGTATCCAGTACTGTGGATCTGTTTGTGCAACAGAACTTCCTGTTCTCTTCTGTGCCCTCCAGTCCCTTGTTCATCCTTAAAATCAGTTTTGCAGGGTTGGGTTAGGATAGCCTGCCGAGAGACTATGGGAGTGCATGAGGGGGAGATAAAAGGAAACCGAAAATCCATTGGGTGAATGGAACTCCGCTAGTGCAGCATTGGATCCAACCTTTCCTTGCTAACATGTCCTTGATTATCTGATTATGCCCAGTAAAGTTTCTTTTCTCACTTTGCTTTATCTGTACAGTGGAACCTCAGGTTACGTACTGTCCTACTTATGAATGCTTCGGGTAACAAGCTCCACTAACCTGGAAGTAGATGCTCCTGGTTGTGAACTTTGCCCCGGGATGCAAGCAGAATTCGCACGGCATGGCAGCAGCGGGCGGCTCCATTAGCGAAACCGCACCTCATGTTAAGAACGGTTTCGGATTAAGAATGGACCTCCGGAACTAATTAAGTTTGTAACTGGAGGCACCATGATATCAGATTCCATAAGTGGCAATGGCAGCATGTTTTGATCTTGGTTTGTAGGGCAAAAGCAGATCATAATTTGACAGTTTAGATGAAATGACAAATTGGCTTTCTGCAAAGCAGGGAGGGGTGGAAATTTTTGCATGCAAAGGAGGAGGGAAATACAAGCAAGCCTGAGGATCTTTGGGGTTCATTCATATAGGGCCAACCACAGCTTAAATCTTGTTTCATGTGAAAAGTTACTGGATCTCTTGAGGTACATGGTCTCCGTAAGTGTTGTATATTAAGCTGTACAAAAACTGTTGAGATTAGGGAAATTGACTGATTTGGGACAGATAGGTGTATTTGCACGGTCAAATTTGCTTCCACGCTAAAAGCTGACTGAAGGTAAACCATAGGGCATAATGCAGTGAAGAGTCTTGCTGTCTATAAATAGCAGAGACATGACCAGTTTCAGAAGTAAGATATAATATGCTTTTTGCCTTTTGAGGCTTACTCTTCTGGCAATAGGACGGAAGGCCATGGGGGTAAGTTGGTACAGGGTAGATACTTACGTTATGAGTTGTCAAATATAGCCCCAAAGTTATTTGGACAGTAATTCCAGAACCATGCCTGTGACATGAACTGAGCAGTGATAGTATGTATATCTGGTCTTTTAAAGTATGTGTCTTTATGCGCTGCTGAACATCTTGTAAACAGATAAAAGCAAGTCATAAACACTATTATGTAGAATGGTTTTTTTTTCATACTGAAGTTGGTGGGACATAAAAATACTTGAATGGTTTAAATATTATAGTCCAAAGAGATAAAAAGTAGTGCCTTGATAGATGCTAAAGATTTAAAATTTGTGGTTTGTATTCAGATCCACCTGCTGGAATCCATTTGAAATTTGCAGTGTTTGGATGTGAGGGTACAATGGCAGCTTGGATTTTCAGTCTGTTTTTCCAGATAGTGTTAAGCTCAGCTGAATCCATATTAAATGTTTCCAGAACCATTGTAACGTTTTTCTTCTTTTGTGTTCGGTTCAATCTTTTGAGCCATCATAGAAATCCAGCATTTCACAGCATTCACGCAACTCTGCTCCTGTTTTATTTGGATGTAATAAGAAATGTCAACAGATATTGGTTTGGCTTACTAGTCAGCTGTGACTTCTAGGTCCTCTGCCTCTTCTAGGTCCTCTCCATGTGCACAGAGGAGGGACGAGGTCTTGTTTAGTAGCAGGAGGCTGGTTTGCTGTAGGCATGGTAGAGGTTTTCTCTGAGGACCCACTACCAATCTTCAGTTCATTCATACCGGGGGTGTGGATGGGTGTACAGTAATAGTCTCTTGTCCTTTATCTTGTCATTCATTTCAGATTCTCATTTATAACCCAGAAAGGCTATTTTAAAATCATTTGTTTATACCTAAGCATCTTAATATGTTTATAGACCTAGTAAACCTTAGTCTCTGTTCTTTCAGGTGGCTTTTCCACAGTGCTACTTGTGCATACACATGGTGGAGTCCGATGTGCATTGAAACGAATGTATGTTAATAATGTGCCTGACCTCAATATCTGCAAAAGAGAAATAACAATAATGGTAAGTAAAATAATACCTTATTGTCAACATATTTTTTAAGTATAATTGATTTTCAAGAGAAAACAACAACAGCATAAAAACCTGTAAGTTCCACCCACTTGCAGAAGAACAAGGAGTTGAAGGGCTTTTGAATATATCCAAAGTGAAATAAATTGGACTCTAAATGGCAGAGGACAGAAGCCAGTTCAGACAGTGTTCTGTGGTCTTGGGAAGGCAGACAGAAGATGAAGACCGTGTGTGTGTGTGTGTGTGTGTGTGTGTGTATGTCCCATCACATATTCCATGAGTGAGCCTCAGGCAGCAAAAAAGTCAGAAGGTTTTTGCCTTTCCTTTGGCCACTTCTATATTGAAAGACATTTTTTCTGCATGCACAATACTGGCAACTCATTTTTTTATACCAAGCATGTATTAATATAAAAAAAGTTTGAATATGTTGGCTTCATTTGTATTACTTTCAAACAGACACAGGAACTTCTGTGGACAAAAGCTTCAGAACCTCTGGCTGTGCTGGAAGAGAAGAGATGGGGAATGTGTGAGCCTGGGAAAGGCTAGGCTTATTCATTTCTTTCTAAATCATAGTTGAATGTGGTCTAAACATAGTGTAAAAACTAATAGAGGTTATCATAACATTCATGGGCAATACACACTACAGATTACTCTTCGTAGTCATTTCACTAGGATAGCGTGAATGTAACAGAGGCCAGGTTTGACCATCATATTAAAGCATAATTAAAATTAAATTGTGGTTTAATGTGGTTCAAAAGGTGTCACTGCACTCTTTCCCCCACTCCTTCCTTTGGTGCGCTGGGAAGGAAATGAACCAGAGGCTGACTTCATCGTACCTACAAACCAGTACTCATTATTGTTTTTTCTCCTTGGCGTCTGCCCATTGTTTGCTTGTAGAGAAAAAAACTACAGGGGTAATGCAAAGCCAGTCTGTGGTCTGTTTTCTCCCCTGCGTGATGAAGGAAGCAGTGGTGGAGTGGAATGAGACCTTTTGACCAGCACAATTCTCATTCATGAAAAACCATAATTTAATTTTAACTATGGTCTAATGTGACTTTGGAACCAAGCCATAAATTCTATAGTTTCCCTCCTCTTCAAATCTGTAACCCACCCTTTTAAACCTAACCTGCAGTGTGGGACGCGTATCCCTCTTGTTCCGTTTTCTCACAACCTTTTCCTTCCCCTCTTTCTCAGGGCACACTTGCAATCCAGACATACTGGTTTAACAGTCATTTTGTCTTCCTTGAGAACCCTGGGAATTGCAGTTTTGGTGGTGAGACAGAGATGTTGAACAGAACTTCATCACCTGTATCAAATAACAGGCAGAGGAATCTTAAACTGCTCATGCAGGGGTCCTTATTGTGGACAGTTCTTCCCACTGCAGCACATTGTCCCACATTGTCCAGTAGCTCCCTTTGACCCTTGGTCAAAGGGGGGTTCTGGTGGTGGTGGGAAAGGGGTCTTTATGGTGGAGGAACAAAAGAAATCAGTTGTACAAGCTGCCTTCTGCTTGCACAACATTGGATACGATCTTAAGCTATTTACTTAGTCTCTATAAATCGATTTGTCAAACTGTTTAGTCAAGATAATCACGAGAAGCAAATGTTTTAAAGTGCTGATAGACCTATAAAGCCATACATGGTTCAGGTCCAAGCTATCTGAGAGAACATATTCCCTCATACGAAACCACTTGTGTTTTGAGAACTTTGGGAGAGGCCTTCTCTCTGTCTTGCCACCCTCACAGGCATACAGGGCCCTCTCAGTGGCTGCTCCAGGACTTTGGAACTTACTACCTAGATAAGTTAGACTGGCTCCCTCCTTGTTCTCCTGCCGGCAGGTGAAAACTATTTTGTTTCAATAGGCTTTGGGGGGAGCTGCTTTTAATGAAAGGTATGGTGCCATGCTGCCTTTATTGTAATTATCAGCAGCTTTAATAGATTTTAAAATATATATAGTCCCTCCCCCTTTTTAGTGATTCTTATGTTAATTGTAAACTGCCTTGAGTCCTGTGAGGGGAAAAAGAAGAGATATAAATAAATATATAATATTAATAGTGATATTTTAGATAGCTTTGACTATGGCATTTTAGGCTAATTGCAGTAATGCATGTATACTATTTTTTTCCAGCCCTTAAAAAAAGTTTATTTCTTTATTCCTAAACTATTATTTCTTTTTCAGAAAGAACTGTCTGGGCACAAGAACATTGTAGGGTATTTGGATTGTGCTGTTAATTCTGTTAGTGATAATGTTTGGGAAGTGCTCATCTTAATGGAATACTGTCGTGGTAAGCCTCTGTCACTTTAAATATAAAAAATTGTCTAACACACAATAGTTACTTTCATATGATAGTCCTTGCTATATTAAAAGTGCAATCTTACTCACTTTTTTATTCTGTGAACTGCCCTGAGATCTTTTGATGAAAGGTGTTATATAAAATTAATTAATTAATAAAATGTCTGTTCAGAAGTAAGTCCAACTGAATTCAGTGGCGCTTATACCCAGGCAAATGAGAGTCTTAAGGTGGTACTTCAACTTTTTAAAAACAGCGCTCATAGTTGGTCAGAGATTTAAAATGTTTGTGTTTTGAATAAGTAGTGTTTTCACTGTGCTAACATCCTCTTTAATGTAGTATTGTAATATCTGCCTTCTTTTTGTAGCTGGGCAGGTAGTGAATCAGATGAACCAGAGGTTGCAGACAGGCTTTACTGAGCCAGAAGTGCTAAGGATATTTTGTGATGCCTGTGAAGCTGTTGCTAGGCTGCATCAATGCAAAACTCCCATTGTTCATAGAGATTTGAAGGTGAGAGGAACTGAGAGGAATTCTTCTGTTCTTGAAATAAAATCTCTGTATTTGACTCCTGTTTTATTGCATGTAACAACACTAAGTTTGAATTAGATTTAGGTACGTCTGTCCCTTTTCTTTTTAAAGCTATTCACCAATTTTGAAAATCCTTGAAATAGATGTTTATGCGGTGATACAGTAGGGATTTCTTGTTTTGAACAAGAGTCTCCAAAAGTTTAAGAACAACTTCATTGTTTTTGAGTAACTTGAATGAAATAAGATATACTTTGGTATTACTGTAATAGCAAATTGATGTGCATTGCTTAGGAGATCATGTGCAACATCCTTAGATTTCCTTTTCTTTGGATTAGGAATGGGGATAGGGGTTGAAATTTTGCTCAACCTGGGAAGAGCTCTTCACTCAAATATTTGAAGATCGCAAAGGTCCATGATTGTCCCACTTGCCTGAATCCAGCTGTATTGCCCTTTAAAGTTGAAAGAGGCAGTGCAGAGAGCCTTTTTGTTCTACTCAGCTAGGAAATGGCAACTTTGTGGGAGCTGTATTTCTGTACTTTTCATTCTGGCTTTAAAGGGCTAATGACCTTCAAGGCCAGGAGAAAGAGCTCTTCTGCTAGCCTTTTAAGTTCTGAGAATAGACTGCCCAAATTTTTGCAAGGGATGTGTGGGTATGGAAAAATAGCAGGAGGATGAGAGGATGACTTTTGGATAAGGTATGAGAAACCTGTAGCTTCCAGGTGGAGTTGGATTCCATCTCTCAGTCCTGCTTGGTATGTTCAATGTTCAGGGACAGTGGGAGTTGTTCAGCAACTTTTGGAGGACCATAAGTTACCTATCCCTGGTTTAGAGGGTATCGAACTTTGCTACACCATAGGAATAACCACCAATAATGTGTTTGTAATTGAAGATTAGCCATTGTTGAATAATGGCATCAATCTGAACAAAACATGGCAGTGTAACATGCTGTGCTTAGCTTCTTCATTTGGTTAACACACTTTAACAATTGGATCTACAGCTTACATGTATTTGGCAATACTTTTTTTCCTTCAGAGCAATCTTAGGTCCCAAGATGTTGGACTACAACTCCCATCATTCCTGACTAATGGCCCTTCTCACTAGGGATGATGGGACTTGTAGTCCAACAATATATTGGGATCCAAAGTTGAGTATGGCTGCTTTAGGGTATTTAAGCTTGGTCCTTCAGTATTGGTGCAGAAGTATGAACACTTTAAAGTGCCATTGACCCTGCCAGATTAAGACATTAAATGAAAGGTGACTGCTTGAAAATTAGGAATGCCTTCCATTTTATATGCGTGTGCTTTTTTTCTTTCTTTCTAAGGTTGAGAACCTTTTGTTGAATGACAGTGGAAACTATGTCCTCTGTGACTTTGGCAGTGCCACTAATAAATTCCTTAATTCTCAGAAAGATGGAGTTAATGTAGTTGAAGAAGAAATTAAAAAGTAAGTTCAATTTCTTAGGGCAGCTTTTCAAAAATCAGTACTCTGACAATCCTAGAATTATCTGTCTAATAACAATAGGAACACATGCATAGCAACTTCAAAGTGTCGTTCTACATATGCATAGGTATTTTAGAAGGTAAACATCATAATATGGTGAAAGATCCAGTTTACCACATGGATATATATCTACATCTGGATATGAGCTTGTATCAGTGTCTTTTAAAGCAGGATAAATACATTAATCTCTCTCTTGAGTGCTAGATGCATGATTTTCTGTTCCTTTCTCCCTTGTGTGTACTGTTATGGTAATCCTTTTCATGGTCTCTCTCCTTCCAAGGGTCAGTCCATGAATAGAGATTAGTTCAGTTCTTTGCTATTTAGAACACAAATTTGTATACGTTCTGTGATTATAGTGCCCTTTTTCGATGGTATGTTATAATTGTGGTTTGAATTCCCAGTTTCAAATTTACTGTTTAAAATCAGTACATTCAAAGAGCTATAATAACATAATTTTAAAAATTGCATTCAAGTGCCATTGGGCCTCTAAGATGCTTTTTTCCTTTCCCTTTTTGTAACTCTGTTGCAGCTTTCATTTTATTAAAAAAAGAGTGAGAAAGCACTTGCCCTCTAGGCTGCAGAGGTCAGTTTAAAAATCTGATTTCAAAATGGTAAAGGCATGAAAAAGGGGCAAGTAGAAAGAAAAAGCAACCCTATTGACTTTACAAGTTCATAATTTTGTTACATTTTGAGGATACTTTCAGGATAATAACAAAAGTGCTATCATCATATGGTGATACATAAAAGAATTGTTACTCTTTGATACGTTTAGGCTTTTGCCCATATTGCTGAATTGCATTACCCCAATCTTAGTGCAGTAATGCACAGTCTGAAAATTCAAAACACGTCTATATTTTATTGTTCACCTTTAATTATCCAATTATATGTTCATAGGTATACTACGTTATCATACAGAGCTCCTGAAATGATTAATCTTTATGGAGGGAAACCAATTACTACCAAGGCAGATATCTGGGTAAGAAAACTGAATAATTTTACTGTTGTTGAATAGTATAGAATTTGTTGCATTTCCCCCACAAAATGTTCCTTTATTAAGCATAGTATTTAAATAAAAGCTTTATGAATAACACCGAAATGGCTTGCATATCTGAATGTTTGTTCAGTCAAATATAGGGTAAAATACATAATCTCAATTAATAAATCATTATACTTGTTACTTGTTTCTTTGTGCTGAATCATGGGGAAAAAATAGGATTCAAATTCTTGTAAAGTGCTTTAAATGAAAGCACTCCATTAGCAAATCTACTGTATATTTTGAAGTGGAAAAGGTTGAGCAATTTACCATCTCTATGAAGCTTGACTGTGTGCCAGCAGCAGCAAGAGATGCTCTTAGCAAAGCTTTTTGTAATGAGTGTGCGACACTACCAAATTTCCGCTTAATAAATCTGTGTAAATCTGATGCTTGATGTGCAACAATGTCACAGTATATAAATACGTTTATAAATAAATAAACACAAGTGCTGAGATGATCAGATTAGCAAAAACATTTTAACAGTTTTGCTGTTCTTGCATTCATTTAGAAAACTGTGAAACACCTCTCATCAATTAGTTTGGAAGCTGTGATACTTCTATTATCACTGAAGTGTTAAGTTTTACACTTAAGTTGTTAACGGTCAAATGCTGCTTGAACAGTCTTGGTATTTGGTGATTTCCCCCAATAACTGTGTTTCACCTGCTTTTTCACTTCATAGGCTCTTGGTTGCTTGCTATATAAGCTTTGTTTCTTCACACTTCCCTTTGGTGAGAGTCAGGTTGCCATTTGTGATGGAAGCTTTACCATCCCAGACAATTCACGTTACTCCCATGGTATACATTGTTTGATAAGTAAGTAACTGAGGCAACTTTCAAATTACATTGTCTGTGAAATGCTTTAATCTTTGATGGGGTGCTGAACCAAAAGTGAATTACCTTGCTGATTGAAGGTTTCATTGCATAGAACTTTGCTGAGTACATCTGTGGAAATAATGTATGTTTGCTTTCAAGTATATGATCATACCAATATTAAGATAAAAGGACAATCCTTCCCCAGGCCTTTTTGAGTGTTCGTTTCATTTTATTTTCTGCTCAGTGCTTTGACAGCAATATACATAATACATGTTGCATACATTATTGCATAACAAAATACACATTCTAAAACGATTCAATCCAAAAGTGCCTCAACAAACACTAATCAGTATATTGGGTCAGATCTAAATTTTGCCTTCTGCAAACAAAGGCCCTTTTCATCTACGGAAACTTTTTGTGTCGGCAGAGGGTTCTCCTGATGGACAGTGAGGAGCTGGCTTTGATTATATTGCTGTCCGTCTCCCAGCACCATCTCTCACACGGTTCTGGAAGGTTCTTTCCAGAAGAGGTTGAAGGGGAAATTGGTAGAAGCGTTTCTCCCTTTCCACCAGAGGCTTCTTCATGAGAAGAACTCTGTTTGGGATACTCCTGCTTATTGGAGTAATGCTAGCATCCATGCCCCAGTGCCACAAAAACAAAATCTCAACCATAGCCTTAAAATGGAAAAATATAAATTGATGAGAAATTTTAAGAAGGAAAAATAGGCCCCCTCCAAATGTTAATGCATAACATCTGTTTAAAAAACCTAAGGTTCTAATATAATCAAAGGGATTGCCAACCCGATTTACCTAGCCAGGCACATTTAGAAAAAGTGCCATGGACACTAGTCAGAAATTGACTTTCATGGCGTAACACAACATGGCAGCTGTGGGATGTGTGGCATAACATTGAATTAGACACAGCCATTGCTCTTTTCTGGTGGTACGCAGGGGTAGGCATACTCCTAAAGATTTTGTGAATCTAAGTTTGGCCACATTGAGGGGCAGTATTTCAGTATGAGTAGGAAAATGAGAGTACCCCAAACTTTTTTTTAGAAAAAAAGCACTGGATACAGCACAGTTATTACTACTTTTCTTTGCCCATTCCAGCCTGGGACTAGCTCAGGTTTGCCATGCAGTCAGCAATGTCCTGTTGGTCTTGATTGTGGCGGTTACGCAGTAATGCAGTCTCTCACTCTCACACAAACACACACACACACTCATGAACACAATAATGGTGTTGCTGTCCAATAACAGAGCATTTACCGGTACCTCGGGTTACAGATGCTTCAGGTTACATACGCTTCAGGTTACAGACTCCACTAACCCAGAAATATTACCTCGGGTTAAGAACTTTGCTTCAGGATGAGAACAGAAATTGTGCTGTGGTGGTGCGGCGGCAGCTGGAGGCCCCATTAGCTAAAGTGGTGCTTCAGGTTAAGAACAGTTTCAGGTTAAGAATGGACCTCCGGAACGAATTAAGTACTTAACCCGAGGTACCACGGTACTATGAAAAATATACAAGGTGGCCACACCATACTCACACTCCAGCACACACATACATACTTACTGTGCACTTACAGATCTTATACACGCATGCATCTCTTTCTCTCATACATACCCATTTCACATATACATCTCTCCTTCTCTGCCCAAGTGCACCTCTCTCTATGTTTCACATACCACATATTCATAATCTCTCTCCCCCTTTCACTTCCCCCCACCCCAAATGCATCTTCCAAGTGCATCCATCTCTCAAACACATGAACTGCTATAGGATTTTATCTGGGGGGCATGTGGGCAAAGTAATACACTGAAAAGGGTGATACATGCTAATTTCTCACAAAAAATGAGAAGAATGGTGTCTGTATATTTTACTTTGTATAATGCAACATGATAGAGAAGGCATTTTTTTCTAGATTGCATGGTGCCCAATTAGTTTTAGGACCTGGCAGATGAAAATAAGAGGCTCGCTGGATCTTGTTTGAGCATTCGGTTTCCCACAGTAGGCAATATATGCCTTCGGGAAGCCCACAAGCAGAATATGGACAACAGCAGCTGTTTCACATTGTTTTACCCCCTTGCCTTCCACAAAAAACTGGTTGTGCGGTACCTGTCTGTCCATAGAAGCAATGAAAGCTGCACTACAAAATCTATTTGATTCACTTTTATTCTACTTTGCTAAATCTAGGCTTCTTTCTTGCTGCTAATCTTTTAATCTGCTGTAATCTACAGGGTATATGCTTGAACCAGATCAAGAACAGAGACCTGATATCTTTCAAGTTTCTTACTTTGCCTTTAAACTTGCCAAAAAGGACTGTCCAATATCCAATATCAATGTAAGTAGATCTTACATAATGCTAATATTTTTAAGGTTAGCAAAAGGAATGGCACTAGCTTTTTGACTTTTTTAAAAAATGGGAACTCCTTCCCCCCTGTACAAAGTGGCTCTAAATTTGGTAACTTCAGATAATTTTTTCGAAACATTGCCTTCATGGTAATTCAGAAAAACACACTGTGCCTGCTTTGAAAAGTAATTGACATTAACCTATGGATTTTTTTTCCAAATCAAATGCAATATAAAATTGTTGGATGGTCTGGGCACTTTCTCTTTTTTGAGCTTTCCTCTTGGAGATGTCAGGAATTGTTAATTCAGTCAGTTAATGCAATTGGGTTGGTTCCCCCACAAAGTGTATTCAGAATTCAAGGACATAGTAAAGCAAAATGCTGCTACAGACACAATTTAGCCTACTGCATGATGAACTCTGCAGGTGCAGCAAAGCTTTTGAATTCGTTCTACTCAATCCCACAAAAAATCCCAGTAGTCCTTTTGCTCCTAGGTGACATAGAAAGCTTCTAAAGGGAGTTGCAAAAGCCTTGGTCTTTAAGCTTAATTAAGATTCCAGACTATGGTTTGTATTTCTTGGCATACCAGTGTCAGCTTTTTACTAAGTAGATATCAAAAATATTATTTATTTACTTATTATTTAGTAAATTTATATACTTCCCTTCATCCAAAGATCACAGGGCAGTGTGCAACATAAAAACACAAAACCTGTAACATAATAATAAAATGTATCACCCTTCCAAAACATTTAAAATATCATATTCATCCATAATTAAGGAATTCATTATGAAACCACCTCTAAGTTTTAAAATGGTGGCTGCAGGAAATGTAGCTTTCTCTCCCCGCCCCCACCCCCGGCGAAGCATTAATCACTCCCTGGACCCACCTCGGCATATCCCCCTGTAGGATATTCAATTCTGTCTCTCCCCACTGCATAGTTTACCGTTTTGCCTCTTCCCAACAGTAAGCCAGTATTTCAAGACCACTGAGCATTCTCAGTTCTCACACTGTTTTGGGATACCCTCTTGGATTTTTTTAAACGTTTTTTGTACTTCCACAAACATTGGGGGTTTCTTCTTGTCCATGAATGGCAATGTTCTAGGTATAAAAGGACTGGCTGTCAGAGAATTGAGCTCTATATTGATAGGTATAATTATTTGCTACTGGTGCTACTTATTTTGGAACTTGCTACTTATTTTACTTTCAGAAGTCTAATAACGTGGTTAATTTATTTCCCCAAGAATTCTCCTCTCCCTTCAACTCTTCCTGAGCCCCTGACAGCTAGTGAGGCTGCTGCTAAGAAAAGCCAAATAAAAGCTCGGTGAGTATGGCAGTTTTATGCACCTTTTGCACAAAAACATTGCACCTTAATATGGTAAAATCTATTTTTCCTTCCCTAACAAAAATTGTTTGAAAACATTTTTCCTTTTTCAGACATTGTTAAGCCTTGCTTGTTAGGTTGTCTTTTGTTCCTGTGCTGCTGTAGACTAGTACCAAAATATAAAGGATAACTGAATTCAGGAATAATCTCGAAGTATTTAAGACCAGCCGTGCACATGCATAGTCACAAATAAAAAGAGATACCTAATGTTGACTAGCAAGTATTCTTATTATATTTAGAAGAGAATATAAATACAAGCCAAATACATAAACTCACCAGAATAGTAGTGGAAAAATACTGGCTAGACTGGTGTGATTGTTGAGGTTGAATGTCATCCACAAACTTCTCAAAATCACAGATGTATGAGGGGATCATAATAGTGGGTGGGAGTCAACTAACTTTTACACATAGTAGACACAGTGAACCTAATTTAGCTCTATTCCGTGAGTCTACTCAGAGTAAAATTTAGTTGAAAATCACCCAGTGTTTCTGCTTTTCCACTGTGCTCTGTCCTCCCCAAACAGCTTGGGATCAATCTTTGCTATGAGCCAGAAAGGAGGAAAAGTTGATGGTAATAATGGTGCTTCTGAAATGGGTCCCCCTAAACAACAACAACAAAGATATGATTAAGTATTGTCACCTTCATCCATATGATGCCTGGGTTCCCACCCACAAAAACCCACCAAAAACATTTGAAACAATGGCTGCTGTAGGGCATGCAGCAAAGACAGGAAAGGGTTTCCATATCCTCCCTCCTCCCCAAAATCAACTAAGGCCCCTCTCAAGCAGCTTCCCTGCTCCATGTGCATGTAGGCAATAAACTACAGCAGCAATGGGAAGATTTGCATGTTTCTTCCACACACCACATTTTCAAAAAGCGATTCAAGCAGCTACCTGCTCCACATGCTCAGCAGGCAACAAAACAAGTGACATACAGTTCCTTTGTTTCTTCCTTTACCCCACATTCTTTAAAAGCGTCTCAAATAGCTGGCCACATGACCCAGAAGCTGTACGCCAGCTCCCTCGGCCAATAAAGCGAGATGAGCGCCGCAACCCCAGAGTCAGCCACGACTGGACCTAATGGTCAGGGGTCCCTTTAAAAAGATAAAGGTACCCCTGCCCGTACGGGCCAGTCTTGACAGGCCAGCGTGACATCGCTGCTCTGGCGAGCCAGAGCCGCACACGGAAACGCTGTTTACCTTCCCGCTAGTAAGCGGTCCCTATTTATCTACTTGCACCCGGGGGTGCTTTCGAACTGCTAGGTTGGCAGGCGCTGGGACCGAGCAGCGGGAGCGCACCCCGCCGCGGGGATTCGAACCGCCGACCTTCTGATTGGCAAGCCCTAGGCGCTGAGGCTTTTACCCACAGCGCCACCCGCGTCCCTCAGGGGTCCCTTTACTTTTATTTAAATAGCTAATGGATCCATTGACCAGGAAATGGTTTCTGCACATGTTGCATCATAACTCTTTTTCTTGGAGGACTAGAGACATTTTTGAAACAGAAAAATGCATTTGTGGGCACTGATGGGGGCCACCAGTGCAAGTGGTGAATTGATTACTCCCACTACAAGAGAATGGAGATTGTGACAGTATGAGGTACACACACACACACACACACACACACACACCCTTCTTAATCTACTTGAACAAAACGTGCTTGCACAGGTCTACAGTAGTAAAACGCACAACTTTGATCACACATTGCACAAGAAGAGTGAGAAGTTGCACAAATTCATAATATTACTGTCTCTACGTCTAATGTGGAGTTTCAACAAAGAACTGCTTTCAGTGACTCATTTACCTGTTCTGAGTGGAATATTGCTTTGCAGAAAGGAGAAAACTGAGATGGATCTTAAATTGCTCATCTGTTCTCATAAGGGAGGGAGCAGTTTCTGTCCACTTCAATCCACCTCCTCCCTACCCAATGTACCGCAGCATTCGGAAGGGTCTCTCAACTCTCAGCACAAATGTGTGTGTTTGTGTTTGTGTGTGTGTGCGTATGTGCGCTTGCAAGGATCTGCAGAGGGAAGGGGAAATTAATGAAAGTGAATTCCATTTCTAGGAGGAAAGTTAGGATTCAAGTCACTGGAGTGTAGTAATTAAGTTAACACTGGTTAAGAGCTGTTTTGAATCAGCTCTTAGCCAGTGTTAACCAAATTACTAAACCATGACTGACTGAACTCTGTGAAAACTTTAGTCCAATGATAGAGTTATTGCTGAAGAAACCTTATAAATTACTTTATGTAATGATTGCAGACTGATCCAGTTTCAGAGATCTGTGAGTGCAACAGAAGTCTCAAGTCAACACTGAGCTATTGACTACCTGAAATAAGTTTGGCACTCTAGATCCCTCATGTGTTAGTTATGTATTGCAGTCAAATAACTTGTGCTGGTTATGGGCTGGGTGTGCAAAGAGGAAGACAGGAGACATTAAGGAAAGTGGCAGATTGAGCAGAAGCAGAGACTGGAATGAAATGAGAGGGAAATTCATTAGAGCACTTGATTTTGTGGATAGCAGTATTTTCATACTTGAGTGTACACTTGTTAGTTAAATTTACTGAATACACACCATAAAGATGTGTTGAATGGCACATGGAAGAATGCTGAATCAAGCTGTTGCTTCCTGGAAAGGAAAATATTTTTCAAGACCCTTCTTGTGGTAATTGCGCACATTGAGAGAATATATGGAAAGTTATTTAGTATAAAATGACAGTGCTGAAGATATGCTTCTAATCTTAACTATACCCTTCTTTTTGAAGTTCAGAAATTTCTAGAATCTCTTTCATTCTAGAATAACAGATGCCATTGGACCAACAGAAACCTCAATAGCACCACGACAAAGACCAAAGGCCAATACAAGCACTGCCACTTCTAGTGTACTAACAATTCAGAGCTCAGCAACACCAGTCAAAGTGCCAGTCCCTAGTGATTTCAACCATGGACAAAAAGGTAACTCTTCAAACTAATGGAGTGGATTTGAGTGAAAATCATTATTAAGTGTGGAGATTAGATAGCACCTTTTTGCAAAGCCTTTGTGAATCCTTTTGACAACTATTTTGTTTTGATTCCTGTATATCTACAATTATGAGTTCCTCCTTTGCTTAATTGCCCAGTTGCATCATGGTATGAGAAGAGTTGCTACACAAAGTTGTGGTGACATACTGCTTTGGAAAACTCAGTGCATGGTCCTTTTGACAGGCAGCCTATTCATTCATGAAAATGAACACTGGGATTGATGCACCTTTTTAAGGAGATATGTTTAATTGCAAATAGTTGTATTTGCATATTGTTGTGGTGCTGAAATTTCAGCTTAACAAGGCCAGAATCACTGGAGACTTAACTCCAGAGTTACAGCTGAGATTTGTCCCTATGAGACAGATTCACGGGCGGGGTGTGTGTGCCTTAAATGACTTAACTAAAGAAATACTATTATTTGTACTGAGGAATACAGTACAAAGTAAATGGGTTTCTGTGGTGGTTTTATCTTAGAATAGAGAAGTTAAATGTGTAATTTACTAGGAAGCTTTCAGTGTTCAGACTTTAAAAATGCATTGAACAGATAATGTGCATTGAAAATATCCTAGGAGCCTCAAAATCTGGAAATAGCCAAGAGAGTATGTTGTCCCAGGGAACTAATCAGGCCCCACAGCAAAATAGAGTACTGCAACAACTACAGCAAGGTGACTGGAGGCTACAGCAGTTGCATCATCATCACCACCACCAGCAGCAGCAACAACAATTGATTCAGGATGCATACATGCATCAGGTACCAATGTGTTTTGGCTGTAGTACAAACCAGTTTTCAGGTTTGCCTCTTCTGTTATCAGTACAACTTTATAAATATAACTTGCTAACATTCAGTTGATGGTTGTGCTCACTTTGCCCTTGGAGAAGAATTTCCTGCCCATGTCAGACTAGTTACTTCATTTGAGAGCCAGTGTGGTGTAGTGGTTAAGAGCGGTAGTCTCGTAATCTGGGGAACCGGGTTCGCGTCTCCGCTCCTCCACATGCAGCTGCTGGGTGACCTTGGGCCAGTCACACTTCTTTGAAGTCTCTCAGCCCCACTCACCTCACAGAGTGTTTGTTGGGGGGGGGGAGGGAAAGGAGAATGTTAGCCGCTTTGAGACTCCTTAAAGGGAGTGAAAGGTGGGATATCAAATCCAAACTCTAGCTTGGTTAGATTACATTTCTGGAGCTATTTGTTCTGCAAGTACCCTTCTATTATACATTCTCTGCTTATGGCATGCTGATCTGGTTTATACTGGACACTGGGTGGGAAGAGAGTGAGGATAAGAAGTTGGAACAGTATGGTCCAGCTCTTATTTTGGAACAAAAGTTGACTTGTCTGACTTTTTCCTCTCTTACATAAAATTAAGCATTTACAGTAAAAATACTAAGTGCAGCATCTCAAAGTGCTGCACATGCCCCAAGGACAATTATTTGTGTAAAATCACTTGATCAGCTGGTATTCATGACTGATAAGAATTTGTCCCTTTCTAAAACAGTATCAACAAGCAATGCAACAGCACATGATTCAACAGCAGCTTTTGATGCGCTCTGCTTACCAGCAGCAACCTTCCCCATCCTATCCAGCCATGGTAAGTTAACCTTTGAATACAAAATTCTGTTTACTTTGATTACTGATAAATATTACTACACAGATAAAGAAGGGTAATAATTAGCCACTTAAAAATTGACTGCCTTAAATAGCATGACTCTGTTGATGGCATATTTTCTTAACTAAAGTCGCTGCTTTTTACAGAAACTGAAGGGAAAAGGAGGTATTTCTTACTCTACAACAGCAAAAACTAGCTCTCACTCCAGTGGTTCTTAACTTGTGCACTGGTACCATTCAGTCTCACTTATTGCCTCTGTACCATTGACTTACAAATAACTTGGTAATTGTGTGGTACAGACATGGTACAAACCAGGCACAGACATTGTAGGTAACAAGGGTATTGGTTTGTTTGTTTGTTTGTTTGTTTGTTTGTTTGTTTGTTTGTTTGTTACAAGATTATTAAATGGTACTGCATCTTTAAATGAGTATAGGATTTGTTAATGTTACTAGTATTTTAAATACCAACAGTTTATATTCAACTAAGATAGCTTTCAAGAAATAGCTAGCCTGTTTAGCCAAATTGTCCTTTTATTCTTTTCACCCCAGTTAAACTCACCAATACTTTAATGGAGGACTCCACTAGAAGTCTGTTTTTTTATCCATTAGCTTTGTCTTTTTGTATTGTCCTGGAAATCTTCCCTCTAGTACTCCTACTAGTAACCAGAGTCCAGCTTTTTAGGCTGCTTCCCACTTCTTCCCTCAACACTGCAAACTGGCGTGGAATCTACACACATTTAAAAACCGTTCTGAAAATGCTTTTTAAAAAAAGTGTTTTAAAAATACATGGAATTTTCCATAAGGCTCACCATTGCCATCTAGTGTCACATTGTATATTGCACTTAAAACGTTTTATTTGCAGCTGTATAGCTGAGTCCAGGTTCTCCGTTCGTCTCTTCAGCCTAAGCCAGGTGATTTCAGCTATCTCTAGCAAGTCTTCAGCCACTAATCCACTCTACCTAGTCTTTGGGTTCTCTTTCTTTCCCAGTCTTCTTCCTCTGCTGTCTTCTTCTGGCTGATTCCACAAACACCAACCACCAGCAACTACAACTACAACTAGCCGGCTTCTTTTAACTGCTGGCCAGCCTCTAGCCATATATACCCTCTAGTCCAGCCCCAACCAAGCACAACTGAAAATTCTGAATCTGCACCTACCCACCAATCAAAATTGCATACTACCTATCCTTCTTTTGCACGCTGAGAGTTCTAACCCACAGCTGTAAATTAAGATCAGTTCATCTTTGCACCTTAGATACATTACAGCATAAATGTCTGAACACATTACACAGTACTTGTTAAAACATAATTCAAAGTAACAGGTTTTCTTCACTGAAACATTGGTGCTTACTGCAGCAAAGCAGTGAATGGTGTATAGTACAGATAACATATTTATTGTTACTGGAGGATCTTCTGTGTTACATTTTATTTTTCCTGTATTTTTTTTGCTTATGAAACAACAGGCATCTATCAATAAAATGCATGCCTTATGAAATGTTTTAACTATGGAAGCAAGAGTTTCATTTCAGGAAAAGTGAATAAATCAAAGATTTTGAAAATCTTGAGTAAAACACACATATTTATTTGAGTCCATTTGCTTGCATAAGACTGTACCTTGGAAATAATACCATTAATTTTAGTGCTTCCAAAATGGACTTGATAGCTATAGTATATAGTTACTTAAGTGAAGAACAAATTCCCCTTGTGTTGAATACTGGGATATAAGTATTCTTGCCCATATTCACAAACAAACGAAACCATTTTGGCCATGTTGCCTCAATCTCACGATGAATTGAAATATTTTACTGTGCTTAGACCATGTGAAAGTAAAGTCATATTTCATGTTTAGCATAATATAAAATCAAATGGATGTCAAATGCTTGGTTAGCTATGTCACACTTGTCAACTGATCTCACTCTTCCAAGTAATTCATTTTAATTTAATCGAGGGACCTAGGGAGCAATCCTATGTTTCGTTGGAGAAGTGCTCTAGGCTGTTGTGGAGCTACCTCTTCAGTCATAGGAGTCTGTGGCTGAGGTCCACCATGATGGTCTGAGGCCCTCCCTGAGGGATGAGGTAGGCAGAAATGGAAGCGCTCTGAGGGGGTATCCAAAGCTCCCATCTCAGGAGGGTCTCCATGTCAGCCACACTGCCCACACCTTCTGCTCTGGCTGCTGCAATCCTGGTGTGGTAGAAAGTGGCAGTTCCTCCACCACAGACTCCCCACCTCTAACCTCAGTAGAATGGCTCTATTGATCCCATTGTTTAGTATCAGTAATGGTAAGTACATCTGTGTTGTTGATTCAATTTAGCTTTGATAATGTAGTTAAAGGTTATGTTTCTGCACACAATGAAATATAATTGTTTGTTGAAGGTACCATGATTTTCGGGAGGTTCACATTTTCTCCCTCTTTCTTTGAGGTGCAGCAGTACCAACAAGCTCTCCTACATCAACAAGCCCTTGTGAAGCAGTTGCAACCTCCGAAACATTCTCCTGAATTTCTTGCCTCTCCTCAGGAGTTTTCACCAGCCTTAATACCCCATTCTAAATCCTTTCCAACTCACGTTGGTGCAGCGTTGGACACACCTTATACTACAAACAGGCAAGCCCCCTCAGTTGATGTTTGTAATGAGTACAAAGACGTGCTGTATGATAGCCCTCCCCAATCTGATTCTTAGAATGCTGCTCTGATTTCTGTGGGACACCTTAATTGTTCATTATAGAATAATCATTACAGAATAAAATACCTTTTCCTCACAATTACAAAAGTGATTCATTTGATGTATTTTAAATTCTATTATCACCACAAGTAATTCTCTCAAATCAATTTTTACAGGTCATCTGCCGCTGATGCTGAGTCTGTTTCCAGCTATCCAAAACAGAACGTCAGTAACCCTCCTGATATGTCTGGCTGGAACCCGTTCGGAGAAGACAATTTTTCCAAGCTAACAGAGGAGGAGCTGTTGGACAGGGAATTTGACCTTCTGAGATCAAGTAAGGGACGCTTGAAGGCTTATTTCGCTTCACAGTAAATAAGAGCTCTTTAGGTTCAACCGGCAGTGCCAAAGACTGTTCTGTTCCAGGGTCACACAGTCTTGTTGTAGAAAACATTCTGAGCGTTTGAGGACAGAACTAGGCCCGCTGTGTGTCTTGTCCTTCTGTCACAAAAATGTGTGCAATAGAAATTAATTGTTTAGCATTTGTATTAATACAAAGAATGTTAAGGTCATCTCTTGAATACTTACTTTTCTTGAGTGTGAAATTCAAAAATGGAAAATAATGGGATGTACAACAATGCAGAACACCAGTCAGCTGCTTGCATTGCTTCACTTCACAGTTGTTCCCTTGCACACTAGAACAGAAGATTTTTGTCAGTCTGGAATGCTTTTTGAAAATGACCGAAAGAGGGGAAATGACCTAGTACATTATGTTAATGTTTTGTAATGTCTTTTGAGTGGCTTAATGTAAGGGCTGCTTTATTGTTTGGACACAATAGTTGAATAAACTCTCTTAAAAGTCAAAAAGCTAACGTGTTTACTTGCAATCACTTGCACCTCTGCTTGTTTTCTTCATACATAATTTTCACAGAAATGAGTTATGGAGAAGGTATAAGGTACAGGGCAGGATAGAGATTCTGAATTTTGCAGAAAACAAATCACTCCACATGTAAATGACACTTACGGTATATGAAATCGGTGATGCATTCTGGTGTCCTAAGTTTGAAAGTAACACTAGTTTAAAAGACTTGTAATTAAGTCATAAAGTCATGGTTTATTCTGAGCACAAGCCTGAGACCTCCAGGTATAGGGTGGTATATAAATTCAATAATAATAATAATAATAATAATAATAATAATAATGTCATTAAGTAGCATGCAGACAAAGAAATGTTGATTTTTCTGCTATGTTAGTATTTTCTAATGTTTTTTCACATAAAGGAAAGCATTAAAAAGTCAGAAAGGCATTTTCACATCATATTTGGAGCCAGAGGAAATGAAGTTTCCAGTCCTCAGTGCAACCATTCTGTGGGCAGTAGTTTTGAAAATCAGGCTTATTTTGGTAGGCATATTAAAAATATGATTGGGAATCTTTCACATTTGCATTGAAAGTCTGCGGATAAGCTGAGTAGAGCTGATCCTTTCAATGTCTCAATAGTGAGTTTGAAGACTTGGCCATTCTCAACTGTCAGTTGCCTCATTTTGCCATATTGTGCTTGGCATCCTGATTACGTTTTGACACCTGACGTTGCCATATATTCTTTCCTACGTAACTAAAGTATACTAAAGAAGAAATTATAGAAGACTTGACAGTCCTCAGCTTTGCAAGAATGTTCTTTATTTAGCTGAACCGTTACTGAATCAAAAAAGAAGTGAACAAATCATATATTCACAGTGTTTTCTATTGCATGCTGAGAATTTTTGTCTTGTAGAACTGGAAGGCTGTGTGAGTGAGAGGCTTTCGAGTGTCCTTTGGAGTTGTTAGATGAACAGCATGTCCAAACCCCGAGTATTAATGAAATTAACATTTACACTGTGGGAGAAAACTGCAACAAAAGTGTAGTACTGATTTGTATGTATCAGATAAAATGTCACAAGTTTCCTTGTTTCTGATGAACTACCATTATATCTGGAATTGTAGTTTCCCCACTAAATTAATAGAAGATTCTAATTATTGTTTATGCCGTAATAACTTTTGTATGCTTCACTGTTAGTAGTTGTTTTGGATCCTGATCAATAAACAGAATGTTATTTAAAGTGGAGCTGCTAGAACTACTTCAGCATTTTTGCTGCACTGTATGTACTCAATAATACAGTCTAAATGAGCTAGGTAACGTGTGGAAGTGAGACAAATAAGGATCAGTGTTGGCAAATTGGAAAAAAAACCTCCAGTTTCTGTTTTGCCCCTTAGTTTTAGTGATCTGAGAGCAAGAAGGATACATTTTAATTGTGGTTTGACTAGTGTACACAATTATTTAACACTACAACAAATACTGTTCCTCATAGTGTGAAGAAGTCACGCATAATAGCCTTGAAATGTACATTACTTAAATATTTCTTCATGAACTTTCTGTATTTAGTCTGTCCTCCCCACCCCTTTTTGGTGGTCACACTTGAATCAGGTCTAAGACAACACACCAATCTTCTACCGTGGCTTTTTTAGTGTTTGCATAGAACATGAACCTTTATAAAAGCCTCAGTTGGCCAAATTACTTTTATATAATTAGCAACGCAGCATAATAAGCTGACTAAATGTTTCAATCAATCCTGTTTGTAAGTTGCGTTTATGTATTCCGAGAATGGGAATTAGTTATGCTCTTCAAAAAGCATTTTGATATGTATGTAGAAGAGAAACTGTCCTGTATCAAAAATCGGTTGGCTGTTGAGTTTCTTTCTCTTGTAAAAGAAGGAATATAAAACTTAAGGAAATTTAAGCACCTTTTTATTTTGCCAAAACATGGCTTTGCTGTCCACATATTTAAATAATTGCTTAAGGAATATTTTTCATTCACTGTGTTTTTTTAAAGAAGGTTGAACATACAACCTTACCTGTATTGTCCCTTACAATGTTACAATTCTAATTAAAAATATTTACATTTTGTTGTCTTCGTTCATCACTACATGACCTTGGCTCTGTGAATACTCAACATCTATATTTCATTCAGCAAATAGTAAAGATTTCTAGACAATTGGGGCATGTACAAGGAAAAGTGCACTTGCTCTAAGGTTGCTTTTTCAATTTTTATACTGTTGTTTAATTATTTTAATGTGACAATTTTGATGCGAGTAGCTGAAACTGTCTTTAATGACTATGGCTTGAACTCAGATTTGCTTGCATAGGTGGCAGTTTCCCTTTCTGTCCCCCATCATGTATCCTTCTGAAAAGTAGCCTCTGTGGGTTTGGGGGATCCTTCAGACTAACATGGGATGGGACCTGACAGACTGCAGTGTGCAATTTGTCAAAATTGGGAAAAGGTGCTCAGAGGTGGCATGGGGGTGGAGGTTGTGGTGGTTGTGGTGTAGGGGAGGGAGCAGGAAATGCCACTGTGTGAACTACTCTACTTCTGCAAGTCCGGTTTCAAGCCAATATGATCTGAATCAGAATTGGAAACTTGTTTAGAATGCTAAGGCGCTTTTTCCGAATTGCTAATTACAGATTTTTTTCAGAGGGATATTTGAAAAATACATGGGCTGGAATCTAAACACTGACTTGGGTATGCTCAAACACTTGCACGTTTCTCATAGCTTACGTTGAACAGCAGACTAGAACTAAGAGAAGAGCTGCAGCAACAAATGGCAAATCCTCTGATTCAAGGAAAAGTACAGAATTTTAACCTCACAGACTTTTCAGCAATTTTGATTGTTCTTCTTTTCTTTTCTTTGCTAAATGTCTGTTGGTTCTCTGCGGGCTGCTCCATATTTGTGTGATGGAAAACTTGCTGGAAGTGGTGGTGCAACTTGCTATTTCACCTCACTAGCTCGGTTGCAGGAAGTTGATAAGGCTTGAATCAGTCATTGTTTTTATAAGACCTGTTGTTTTTTTAATAGTGTGGCCTACCATGAGTCTTTAGGTCAGGGCTACCCATATTACTATTTTAGGAATTTATGGACAAACCCCACTGAAACTATTGAAACATGGACGTGCATAATTCCCCTTCTATTTCTGTGGGGCTTTCAATAAGAGTCTTGGGATGTTGTGCCCATGAATTTTTTCAAGAGCTGGTAATAAGATACATCTGTTTATTTTCAGCTGGCGTAAAAACTGCCATTTTTATTTTACTTTTTTGTTCTGTTTTCGTTTTTATCCTTGCAGATAGGCTCGTGGAGAGGAGAACTTCCTCAGATAAGAATGTGGAGCCACATTCTGTTCCACAGAACCATCCTCCAGAAGATCCCTTTGGTTCTGTACCTTTCATTTCTCACCCAGGCAAGTTACATAATGTAACATCACTGCTTTTCATTTAAATATCTCTTGATAGTGCATTAGGTTCGTTCTTGAAATCAATACTTGCTTCAGTATCTTTCCTATTCCTGCTGCTTATCTAACCCAGAACATGCCTGATAACTAACACCAGATACTGAATTTTAGAAGACTTTCCCCCGCTATTAAACTTACTGGAATGTTCATTGCAGTGTTAATCCTTGCAGTAGTTCTGTATTTTCATATTTCTACTGCATATTCACAATATTCAACAGCTGATCAACTGCACAAGCTCTGTGCTGGTTCACCTGCCTTACATAATTCAGAAATGTGTTTTAAAGTGTCTCAGCATATTGGGAAGATTCCATTAAGTGATACACATGCTGTTCACAGTTAGTTGAAACTTGCTGGACTCTTGCCCTTATTTCGATACTTAATTGGAGTCCAGATATAAAGATTCATCAATGCCTAGTGAACTCTAGGTGCAGAGACTTTCATGTATCCAAATAGATTTTTGGGGTTTTTAGGGAGGTGGCAAAATCACCCTTAGCTGTGCCAGTCTTCCTATCTAGGACGAACCTTTCTTTTCTGTGTTTTGCTAGAATTTAGTTGCATTTCACTTAAATTTAGTTTTATCTCTTAACTGGTTGAGGTTTGTTGGGTGACAACTGTTGGTCACACTCAACTGAAAAGAACTTAAGTGGTTTTAAGTCCATTGAGTATGTCTTGGATGTCACCCTTTTGATTTGTTTCTGTATCACAAAATCTCAATTAAAATCAAACCAACATAACAAACTCAATGCAAAGTACATTGAGAAGTACCAAATGAGTCACCTGACACTGGTGGGTCATCAATGCCTTGTTCCATTTTTGTCCTGGTTCTTCCTGGATTCTTCAGCTGTTACATCACTATCCCACCAAACGCTAAAAACTTTCCTGAAGGGCTGTCTTCAGATGTCTTCTAAAAGTCATATAGTTTTATCTGTTTGACATCTGATGTGAGGGCATTCCACAGGGTGCCATTACCGAGAAGGCCCTCTCCCTGGTTCCCAGTAACTTCACTTCTCGCAGTGGGGGAACTGCCAGGCTGAAGGATGGGGGTGGAAACACTCAGGTGTACAGGGCCGAAGCCATATAGGGCTTTAAAGGTCAGCACCAACACTTTGAATTGTACTTCAAAACCTACTGGGAGCCAGTGTAGATCCTTTAGGACTGGTGGTATATGGTCCCAGTCGCTGCTCAAAGGGAGCCCCACATAGAATGCATTGCAGTAGTCCAAGCGGGAGATAACCAGAGCATGCACCACTCCGACGAGACAGTGTGCAGGCAGGCAAGTAGGGTTCCAGCTGGCATACTAGATGGAGCTGGTAGATAGCTGCCCTTGACACAGAATTAATCTGTGCCTCCGTGGACAGCTGTGAGTCCAAAATGACCCCTAGGCTGTGCTCCTGGTCCTTCAGGGGCACAGTTACCCCATTCAGGAGCAGGCAGTCCCCCACACCTGCCTGCCCCCTGTCCCCCAGAAACAATACTACTGACTTGTCAGGATTCAACAAAAGACAATTATTGAGGCATGTGTTTAGAGCCACCCTCTAGCCTCAGTTTGTAAAATTTAAATTACAATAATGGAATCAAGACAAGAAAAATCTCACTGTTTCAGATGACTATAAATTCAGTTTGTCTTTTGCTAGTTCCTTATCACCGAAAGAAACAACTTTCTCAGTTTCTACTTGATCACTTTCATCATCAATGAATAGAATACAAGAGACTTCCATATTATAGACAAGTTTATAAAGTCCAGCTGTGTATTTGATAAAGACATACAGAAACATACATAATTTCCAGGTTTCGTCTGTCCCTCAAAATAAAGCAGCCCCTAAATCCGTCCGTGTTTGTCATCTGCCTCTCTGCCTGTTGCCAAAAAACAGTGCAGATTTAGTTGATGTGTCTCAGTAATCCTTGGTGCTGACATGTGGCAAATTGTTGTGAAATGATGATGGCAGTATGTTACCAATTCAGAAGGAGATTTAAAATGGTTATGCCTCTGCTTTCTCTCAGTCCCTGAAATGATGAACTAGCAGAAGGCATGTAATTACTCCAGTTGTTACAAGCCATTCATCCTCTTATAATCGGATGTCTAGAAAAAGAACATCAGAACAGAAATATTCCTTGAAGATTGGGATCTTATGATTAGATGTTCTACCTGCATTGAATTTGAAGGAAGAACAATAGCCTTATACAAGAGGCAAACCTGATTAGAAGAGATGTAATCTGCACAATACATTACAAGCAGATGTTATGCCACAAAGTTCTTCAGCTCTTCATAAATTTAGATTTGAAATGTTCGTTGCAGCAGTTTGGAGATTACTTCAAATCTTTTTCTACATGTTGATCTTAAAGCGCCTTATTACAACATTATCATGGCATTAATTTAAAAGTGAACTTGAGATTTTCCCAAATGTAACAATGTTAAATGAAATATGGATTTGTTTGGTCTGAGCTGAATTGATTTTGAAATAGGTTAGTGCCTCTTGTGTGCGGAAACATTTTAAAAATAGCATTCTGTGAGAGAAGTAGTGCTGAATTACTTACTAGGACTCTGACTTGGGCCTAGGATAATTTTGAATGTGTTGCTCCTATAAAGATAAATTAGAAATCTGTGTTCATAGAATTGTAGAGTTGGAATAGACCATGAGGGTAATAAAGTCTAACCCCTGCAATGCCAGGAACCTTTGCCCAACATGAGGCTCGAACCCATAACCCTGAGATTGAGAGTCTCATGCTTTACCGACTGAGCTATCCCAGCTTCAAAGAAAATAAGATGGGCCTTTTAAGGTATGCAGAAGAATAGAAGCACCTACAAAGCTCTACATGAGCTCTTGGTTCAGATCTCATATCAACAAAGAACTTACTACATCTTAAAAATTGTCTGCCCTAAGGGAGGAAGAAATAGTTTTCTGTTTTCCACATGTGAATAAAAGAATGCTCGTGCTGATAGCCATTTGAAAATTGGTATTCCAACAACAAGGTTGTGTTATACTCATGTGGAAAGATTAAGCTTTTTAATCTTACAAAATTACATCCATGTAAACAAGTACAGTATCCACGCAAATGTTGAAAATGGCGGGATTTAGATGGCATGGACATCTACATTTCTGTTATTACAGCTATTCCTTTGGGAAATCTACATCAAGAGATGAAATCTACATTTTAATTTGACTTAGAAGAACCTGACACTGGGAGTAAACCTGAAATAGCCTGAAGATCTAATCACCTGATCTTTCTACTCATTCCTATTTTTTCTTAAAATGCATGTGCAGATTTATTTTGAATTATTTTTATGAGACTGTAGAGAGCGAAGGTTCTTGAATATTGAGATCAGAGTGCAGGTTCTCCCCCCACCCCCCAAAAAATATTCCTTGGGTACTAAGCAGTTAAGAATGGAGTGCCCATGCTCTGCAAGTATAGGATAGTTTCCCAGGGCCATTAGATTCCCCACTATTGGAGGGATAGCAACTAGCTATCATCTAATGGGCTGTTGCCTTGATTCAGAAGAGCAGGTATTTACTTAGGTATTTTTTGCATGTCCTAGGGTGGTTGAAATGGGGTCTTCTTCACATTACATAATACATATGCAAATCCCATAATGCAGCAAATGCTGTACAATGAAAAATAAAATTTTCTCATTTGCCTTCATTTATTGTGAAGTCTAGCATCACTATTAAAAAAGGAAATGTGGTCCATCTCAATGTGTAGTAGCAGTGTTAAACGTATACAGTATGTTTATCCGGAGTGTGGAAAATTAAGAAGAAATTGAAGTTCTCTTGCATATTCTTTCAGGTTCCCCAGGAAATGAAATTAATAACTCAGACAGCAGTCTAGAGAACAAGGTAGGGAGCCCAACCAAAAATGAGAGGTCAAGCCAGGCTATTGGGGACCGTGAAAATGTAAAGAAGGTGAGAGAAGGAAACACGAAAAAAGGAAATGATGAATCAGAGAGTGACTTTGAATCAGATCCTCCATCTCCTAAGAGCAGTGAGGAAGAGGAGCAAGAGGATGAAGTCTTGCAGGGCGAGCATGGAGATTTCATTGATGACAACGATACCGAACCAGACAACTTTGGCCAGCATCCTCTTCTAATGGATTCTGATGAAGATGCAGAAGATGATGATAAACCAAGTTCTGACTCTGATTCTTGTCATGCTAGGCCTGTGGATGAGATGCCTTGCAGCAGATACAGAGAAGGGACTACCAGTGTTGAAAACAGGGAGCCTAATGTAACATTTCCCGTGTTGACTGAATTGCCAAATACAGTAACCAAGGTGAGCCCCAAACAAGAATTTGATGTCTTTGGAGCAGTTCCATTCCTTGCTCTTCATTCTCAAGAGCCCAAGCAAAATGATAGCAAAGGTTTCTCTCCCCAGGCTACGCTCCCAGGCTTAGACCAAGATCAGGATGACTTTGATGTCTTCACCAAAGCCCCATTCAGCAGAAAAATATCTCAGCAAGATGACTTGATTTCAGGTTCTGAAAACCAACCTTCTCCCATATCACCCAAAAGTGTGGATGCTTTTGGCTGTATCCCATTCCCTCATTCCATCCCAAAGAATGACGAGAGTAAAGAGGACCTGTTTGGGCTTATCCCGTTCGAGGAGATAGCAGGGAGCCAACAGCAGCAAAAAGTGAAGCAGCAACGCAATCTGCAGAAACTCTCCTCTCGCCAGAGACGCATGAAGCAGGAAGTATCAAAGAACAATGGGAAGCGCCACCATGGTACGCCAACAAGCACCAAGAAGACCTTGAAGCCCAGTTACCGCACACCAGAAAGAGCCCGCAGGCACAAAAAAGCTGGCCGTCGGGACTCCCAGAGTAGTAATGAGTTCTTGACAATCTCTGATTCCAAGGAAAATATAAGTATTGCCCTTTCAGATAGCAAGGACAGAGTCAACCCTCTACAAGCAGATGACGGTCTTCTGGATCCCTTTGGAGCCAAGCCTTTCCACCCTACGGAACTGGTGCTTCTTCCACAGCATCAAGGTTTGGGTGATCATTGTGGAGACTATAATGCAGTAGTTCCTGGTAGACCTAGACAGAATTCACTACTTGGTACCATTCATTCTGGCGATGGGATAAAATTAACAGATGATTTTGGGGCAGTTCCTTTCACGGAATTTGTTGTGCAGACTGTGACATCTCAACAAAGCCAGCAGCAACAGACAGTAGAGTTGGATCCTTTTGGGGCTGCTCCATTTCCTTCCAAACAATAGATTGAACCAGGAGCACTGTTGCATTATTTAAGGATTTTCTGTACCACCATAAACTATCTGGTTCTTTTTGGTACTATCTGGTACTATTTTGGTACTATTTGGTACTATCTTTTTGGTTCTTTTTGGTACTATCTGGTACTTTTTTCTTAGTACAATTGATTCATTTCTCAGTAGAGAACCTCATATTTTAAAATCTGCTATCTTAAGCATACAATATTAAGATGGTGAAGAGGTAAAAGAATTTCACTAAGACCTTCTGATCTCTTTTCAAAAGCTCCTATCTGTTGTTGCAGCTACTGCCTATTACTTTATCAACAAACAGCCATGGTGTCCTTTTTACCATGTACTCTTCACCAAAGAGGTCGTTACAAGAAAGGTCTGATTTGAGGTGTGTTATAACTGGCCTGAGGGGAATGAGAAAATGCCTAAATATGTAAGAAGCTGGATTGATCTGGGACTGCTTCACTTGCTTGTTGTGGGATCCCTCCTAAAACATCTCTGAACTTCTGAGGTTTCTGACTTGACATTAGATTCCTAAACATCACAAAAAACCCAAACCTTTGTAGCTGTGGTTCCCAGAACTCTGCTTCCCTCCCCCCAGTAAGTGCCATTAATGTCAAACAGGGATAGTTCTAACTCTTAAGATCTCAAGAACTTAGTGGAATACAATATTAGATAAAGTTGGGAATCAAGGAGGAAAATAAAAATACATAGCTGGATTCTGCAGCACTTCGAAGATTATACTGTTCCAGTTTGGTTTACCTGCATATACAACATTCGACAAGACAAAGACAAAAGCCGGAAATTTGGTGGCAAGTTCTAACCTGTACAGCTCTATGATAAAGTAGGATTTTCAGCTAATGTATATTTCTAGGGTTTTGTACTCCGTGGTATACCCTAGAAATGTCTTTTGAATCACTCTCACTTAACTCGTTTAATATTTTTGAGTGCATTCTGTCTCACAATATTGTACTTATCTTGAGAGTTCATACAAAATACACGTAACTCTAAAGAAACTTTTAACTTGAATTTAGGCAGTTTCCAGCACTGGAGGTATAAAAACTGAAGCCTTTAAAAAAAATGATGCTGATTTGAGTCTGCTACCAGTAAACTGCATAGTAAACCACCAATGCCTTACAGCCAGGACCATTGTCCTGTCATACTTTTACCTCTGAGCCATTTGGTGCCCTTGAGACACAGTTTAAAAACATGTAGAACTTAAAGGTGAGTATTTGATGCATTTCTGAACTTCCCACGTGGACAAAGGTGTTCATAATGTCCTTGGCTGTCTGTGGCCCATTCTTGACTAGCTGCGGGAGCTCTGGCAGAATATGTTTCACATTTCAGTTCCTTGGGCTACAATCTAGTCCAGCTTGGCTTTATTTTAAACATGTAGGTAACACTGTAGGTTTAAACACTTTTAAACACTGCAGTAACCAGCTGCTCCTAAATCATACAGAAGTGAGTGGTCAGGATCCATGGAACACTGCAATGTAGTTCCAGTGCCTATGCAGAAGCAGCTGACCCCTTGCTCCCATGAAATATAGCAAACTATTTCTGAAACTGAAATGTTTCATATGTATTGGGTCAACTGTATAAAAGGAGTCAAAATCCTACTTCATGCATACAAGCCTGAAATGTTTTTGGATCCTGGGCTTTGCATAGACATTCACATTGTAAATCTGACTTTATGCAAAAGGTACAAGAACTGGGCTCTTCAGGTATTGTTTACCTGACTTGAATATGAACTTGTGGGATTAAGAAATCTAAAACAGTGACTGCCCTGGGTGAATGACTTTCCGTAAATGCTTTCCCAGCAGTGGACTCTTGCTCTCCAGCTGCTGTGCAGAAGCAAAATATCAAAAGAAACTTTTTTTGTGTGTAACATGATTCTAATACAGGATAAATTTGACAGTGGCAGAAGAACAAGATGCTTTAAAAAATGAGAACTTTAAGAAAATTTGATGTGTTTTTGGGCGATCAAAATATGATTGGAAGCTCTCTCCAGATGTATGTCCTGCAATGTTCCACTCTTTTGTCATATCAAGCACAAATCCCAGGTCAGTTAGATGTCTTGTCATTCTAAATATTTCTGTAAAGCACATACGGCAAAAAAATGGCTAACTGTGCACATACCTCAGAATGCCTGCTCTTTTATTCTTGTGCCAAAGCCTCTTTGAGCTAAATACAGGTTTTGTAACAAAGGTTTATTAAAACTGTAACCGGACAGCTCTATTGAAGTGCTGCTTCAACTGTGACAAGATTTCCTACCCATGAAGAGATCAGCTGCGTGTTCCCAGCAAATGAGCACACAAATAGATGCAGAGAGCAAACATGTATATATCCCTCGTGGTTGTTTCTTCTATGGAAAGGTTTTCTGTGGATCAAACGTACAATGTTTGAAGCAGGTTGGAGTTGCAGAGTTAGTCCAGAGCTGTCCACAACTAGCCGATTCCAATGTAATAACTTCTACTTGTGCGTTTGTAAGGTCTTAAGTGCTTTCAGGTGGCACAAAATAGGCACAGCAGCTCTGGTAGTCAATGTAACAGTCCCATTAAAAGTAGTTGACCATGTTGATTTTGACAAAAAAAAAAAAAAAATCTGGCTCAGGAACAGTATCTAGTGTCTGATCTTAACCTGGCATCCGGTTGGTAGCCAGCTTTTATATTCCAAGCTGTCTGAAAAATCCTTTCCACAAGACTCCATGTGCTGTGAAATACAAACACTAGATTTAGAGCAACCTGGTCATTTAATTATTTGTAGTAACCTAAAACCATTGCCTGCATTTGTCAGAGGGGTTTTCCATATATCTGTACTACATGTACTATCTGTACTATTGGCAGATAATTCCATTCTGAACATTTTATTATTGAGATATGGAATGCCTTTGACCCAAGATGAAAGTAAATCTTATCCTGCAATAATTCAAAGGCAGTGGGGAACGTAGAAGCAACACATTTGCATTGTTCTAACAGTTTCGCTACTATTTATCCTAAGAGTTTGTTGGTATAGAAAATATACACATTTTTCTCAGTCATCACTTCAGGTCCTGAGACACACTTTTCAGCAGTCTCTTGGAAGACACCTGCACTGCTCAGTTGATGCTGTTAGCTTGGCAGTGTAGAGTTAATAATGGATGCAACTCTGCAGGACTGGGCCGTAGGCAAAACGTCTGTAGCATAACCCTTTAAGGCCAAAATAAACGTGTGGCCATTGAGATTGTTGCCAATATTCTTTGCTTTCTCATAGGGCCTTGCTTCACGTATTACTGATTGCATATGACTTTATTTTCATAGGTTTTTGTAAATAAGAACTTTTGTTGATTTTCCTTTGTGGTTGCCGGGGTATACTGGCAGACCCCACAGAATTAATTTCTCCCTATGTTTGTTGCTAAAGAGCTGCAGAAAGCAGGTTTAATAATTTCCTCCAGTTTTGGACTTCATTGAAAGAAGTGATTGGTAGTTTGGGAGAAATATTTTTGCTTGCATTGTGTACGTGTACATATATCTGAAATCCAGCCTACCATGGTCTTTCCTAGAACCATAGGAAGATTGTGAAGTATTAGTTCATATCGGTGGCCGCCAGATGGAGGATTTTTCACTACTCCAATGGTTTGACCTTTCCAATTAGCATATAGCAGACAGCTGGGTACATCTTCTAAAATCAGCTGCAGAATTAGTTCATCTTGAAGCAGTGTTGCGTGTTACTTCTGACATGATGGTCACCCTAAGGTGCTTTTATTGTACAGATTAATATAGCAGACATGCTCCTAAAGGTTTTAAAAGCAACAGGATCTGGTTCAATGTTAGCCATCATTGGTAAAATCAGCTCATGGTTACTATACCATCACCCAAATTTGTGTGATTCAGTTCTTTGAAGGTACAGTTGTTGATCTTGGTGAAAGAAACTGAATCCATACCCCTATCCACATATCAGTGAGGGTGGGTGCTTACTACTTCCATAATTATTCTGTAGAAAAGGAGGCCTATATCTTACAGCTTGATCCTGCATCTCTTGAACTAGGTTACATGTGTCTGGTAATTTTAGAGGGACAGGAGCAATGCCCAAGCTTCGGGAGGAGGGCTGCCTAAACGTCTGTCCTTTTCACCCAGAAATAACTACTGTGAGATTGAATGGCTGTAGCTACTACTGTGAGAATTGCAACTAGAGTCTATCTGAAGATTTTTTTTATATGATAGGGTGTATTTTTATAGAGAGAAACATATATAAAACATACATGCACACATCACATCTCTTGGAGTTTGTGATCTAAAACAACATTGCAGTCACAATCATTGTCATGGCGTTGGAAAAATAAGTATAGCCAAAAGCTGCTAAGAGTAACAAGGAAATGCAAAGGACTGGCTGCCCAGTTATTTTTCTAAAGCACTTCATTGAAAAGAAATAAATAAAAGTAATAGTGTCGATAGCCAAGTTTTGTTTCTGTGACTAAGAACATCACTCAAGAATAAAACAATGCTATATTTTAATTGCTGGCAAACAGCTTTAAGTGCACTTTTCAAATGACACTTCCATTTCTTGTCAAGACTCAAAATTTCTAAAGCTTTTTTTGTTGTGTGTGTACCACTAAAACAGAACTTTTGTGTGAAATTAATGTAGCTGAGAACAACTGTCAGTTGTTACTAAATAAATATACCAGATGCCATGATTCTGTAAACCTGTGTAATTTTTACAACAGAGCCGGGGTGTTCTAGATCTTGCCATGCAAAATGCTAATTGAGTTTCCTGTGTATGTTGCCTCATATGAAAAAAAAAACTTATTGCATTACTTATGCCTCCTGTTGTTTCTTTTGCTGCAGTCAATGCCAGTAATTAGCTCGTTTTGTGAACTTGTTTAATGACAATCAACAAACCTATGAACAAGATGCCCTAAGCATCTTGTTTTGATACTTGTTCCAAGGACTTGGGCTACCATATCCTAAGCAACACCGGACATCGGTTTGGCTTTATATCACGTCAAGTTTGTGAGATTTAGTGTTTTGTGACAGCTCTGAGGCTGCCGATACCTTTGGTGCTTTTCAGAACTACAGCTTAAGAGTTTCTTTGAGGGAAGCAATGACAGTGGTAGGACAGATGTACTGCAGAGAGTCATGGCCTGAGACAAATTGGGTTGCAACATGAGCACTACCACAATGCAAAATATATGAGTAAAGATTAAGAAATGGGTTCCCAAATAGTTTTAAGTTGGCGCTGAGTCTGAAAAAAGTTGACAATACCTGGTATATAGAACCCTGTTTTCTTCCATCGGCTCCTGTTGAAGCATCAAGAAAGCAGATCTAGACACCATATATACCGAAGGTACAGAAATAATACTGAGAATATGAACAATGGTTCTGCATAAAACGGCCTTCTCCCCATTGGTTCTTCTAATCCAGTCTTGATTAGCAGCCATTCTGCAAGGTAATCTTCAGCCACATTAAAAGGAGAGGCCATTCCTCCCTGTGCAGCTCAGGCCTCTATAGAGCCCAACACATTGCTTGTCTCACACACAGAAGAGCAAGTACATTTGCCAACAAACAATTTTATTCACAGAGGAGCTATTTACATAATACATATTGGTAAAACTTGAATAGATTGCAGCAACTTTCCTTTGTACATCTAGTTGAACATGAATAAAGGAATCAAAACATTTTTAAAAGGCACAGCAGTATGTGTCACTCTACTTAAGCAAGGCTTATAGTGTAACTTAAAAATGAGGCTCCAACAGCAGATAATTGTACACATTTGCTGGCTGATAATCACAATTATTAAGCCTAGAAGGCAGGAAATCTATAGTAGAGTTTTACCATTCTGCATTCCATTTTCTATTGTCTTGAAGAGCTCTCTTGACAGAAAGCTCATTTATATCACAACTCCTTAAAAATAAATATTAGAAACGAGGCATGCACAGGTTTGACATTTACAAAAGGTTGTTTTATACAGCTATACAAACTGGAGTTCAATTGAACTCAACTCTTCCAATTGCAATACTAAACATTTATATCCTAGACTTTGTTTTTAGAAAAACAATGCATTAAATGCAAAATTAAAACAAGGATGGTGGTGAGGGCCAGTAGAGAAGTGAATTCTCAAAGCGGAGTTGCTTCTGTATAATGCAAGAAGCTGTAAACAAAAACTTAACATTTTCTTTAAAAGCACGTAGGTTCTGGGGGACCAGTTCTCTAAAGCTTTCTAACTAAAGCCATGAAGTATACACTTTTAGAGTTCCTTAACTATACAAGCAAATTACTTTTACATCCCACCTTGCCTCCGGAGGCACTGGTTTTCTGAAGAAGAAAACCCATAGGACTGTTCCCTAGCTGTTGTTACTTTTTTCCAAATTTGCCATGCAAAAGGTAGGTTTACTTCTGTTACACCCTAGCAAAGTCTACAATTCAAGCTGAGATGTGTCAGCTGGAACTTCGAAACAAAGTGGCTACACTCCAACATCTGCCAATGGCTAGGCAAGGAGCAGCTGCTCTGTGTTTGTCAACAGATAAATGATATTCTCTTAAAACATCACTCAAGAACAATTCTCCTTAGTGCCATCACTGCTAAAATGTTGATTTGTGCTTCATGTCAGTATAGTCATACCTTGGGTTACAGCCGCTTCAGGTTGCGTTTTCTCAGGTTACGCACCCGCCAAAACCCGGAAGGTTACGCACCCGCCAAAACCCGGAATGGGTTACTTCCGGGTTTCAGCGGTCGCACGTGCACAGAAACACTTAAATCGCGCTTTGTGCATGCGACGAATCGCCACCCGTGCATGCGCAGACGCACCGCTGCGAGTAGCGAACATCCATCACACACGGATCACGTTCGCAACCCGAGCGTCCACTGTACTTGACAAAAAACCTTGGGCACTGAGACACGTTTAATCAAGGGACCCCAAAATTCTGACCCACTGCTAAACCGCATTTTGAAGAGCACCCCAAAATTCACAATTACTGGGGCATCCCAACTTCTTTTCCAAAGATTAGTCTATGATATCACTGAGGAAAACAACAGCAGATACTGTTCTACAGAAAGGGAGGGGGGAATCAAGTAAAAATCCATGTTTAAATTATAACACATACATCAGTGCAAGGACACAGAACATGTTGCACATACAGTAGACATAATATATTTTCAACTTATAATGTTACATCTTGGAATGAGAATTTGTCACGGGAACCGCACATGCATACTGGGGGATGTTTCCTCAGCCTATCAGAAGAAATAGTTTCCTGGCAATTTCTGAAATTTGTTTATCAGTAGTTTGAACAAATTTGATTTGTTCTACTGTGGCCAACAACCAGAGTTCACCAAGCTATTTGGCTGCTGGTGACCTCTTCCATGGTCTTTGGCATGACTGCTAAACTTATTGCCTCTTAGCATGTGAAGGGAAAGAGAACAGCAGCTTTGAGTGCTGCCTCTGAAATTGGCGTACAATGATAAGACTGAAATAAAATAAATAAATAAAATTAATCAATTTCAAAAGACTGCAAGTAATCTCATGATCAGCCTCCTGCAGCCAGTGAGGTAGTGGGGATGGTCAGCCCCTGCAGGTTTTTTTTTTTTTTTGGGGGGGGGGAGAACAAAAGTAAATGGGTCTGTCAGTCACTGGGTTTCCTCATATTTGGTCTGGGAAGATGTACAAAATAGGATAAGGAGGATGAGGGGTCTACAATGTACCATAAATGGGTACTAGGCATAGGGTTTTCTCAGCGATGGTTCCCCATTTGTGGAACATCATTCCCAAGGGAAATATAATATAGTTGGGCTAATCAGTTCTGGCTTTTAAATGGGCCTTTTAGAAGATGGGCTGGTTTAAAACAATTTTAAAATGGCTTACATTTCATGGATTGCTCAGTTGGACTTTCCAACTGCTGCTTTAAGTGGTGACATTTTGGTAGCAAGTTTAGTTTTATATATTTCTGTAAACAGCATTGGTGGGACTTTTTGTCGTGAACATAGACTGTAAACAAAACACGAGAGATCTCTTGGGAAGCAGTAAAAGAAAGTTGATGCCACCATCAGCAGCTGCTATTTCAGAAAAGAAATGGAACACGTTTTGTAGAATGCAGAGTCTTCAATATGTGCAATCAAATTGTGGAAAGTCCTTTCTTCCCGGCATGCGGTGAAATCAGAAGTGGCAGGGTTTAATCCTTCACAAAGGGGCCTCGTAAATCATACAGTAAACCAGTATTTTCCTTGCCTGTTATGCTGAGCAGTAAAACTACTGCAATTTGAAAAAGTTAGGCATCAACACAGTCCTGGACACCAATGGGAAAATATATTTTTCAAGAAGGTTTTGGGGACTGGAACGCGCCTGTTGTATACTTCAAAATGCTCCCTGTTCCTCCACAGTGGTAGGCCACATTCCAGCACCATCCCTTCCATGGAATTAAAGTAGAGCTATTAAATAGCAACTTAAGGGGAGTCAATGCAAAATATTTGGGTCCCCATCACTTTCCTCAAAAGGGGCCGTCTGACTTTAGGCCCACCTGTGAGCCTATATAGTGGAGTCCGAATTCAAAGAAGTGGATTCAGGGCTTCAGGTGCCATAGCACTGCCACATGATTTAACAGCTGTCCCGGTAAGAGAGGCTGTTGAGCCCAAATACAAGGAAGCTAGGAGAACACAGAATTAATACTGCAGGGATAAGGTCTCTAAGGAGGAACTGAAATGCTCATTAGTGGAGCATATGCTTTGCATGCAAAAATACATATATATCCCAGCTTCAGTCCCTGGCATCTCCTGCCAGTTAGGGTACAATACCAAGTTTAGGCAGACCAATGGTCTGACTGTATAAAGCAGCTTTCTATGAATCAGAGCAGCAGAAGCACAAGTGAAAAGGGAAGCATGCAGGACTCTGTCTCCTTTCCAGCTGGTGACCTAAGAGCTCCAGGGCTTTTGTTACTGGCCAGTTTACCCCAAAAAGGACTCCTCTTCCTGAATAGACAGCTGGAGACCCCTTATGACTTCTGGGCAACCACTGTCTTTTTAACTGTGGCAACAAAAAGGCAAAACCCCTTCCCCATCACAACCCAGTCCATCTTCATCTCCTCCTGCACAGGAAACCGCCAGACCTTTGCGTGCTAATGTGCACTATGGTCAGGGCAAGGTTTGCTGTGTCTATACTGCATGATGTAGACGGTAGACTGATGCCACCAGTACAGCATCACTACTGCAAGGATGTGCCATACTTGGTGGCTTGAGCCGAGGTAGTTTAACTGCCCTGTTGGAAAAGAAAAACACACACATTAATTTAGCTAAAACATTCAGTAGCAGAAGCTACTTCTATGTGTTGGGACAGTGCTTTGACACACCAGGGTAGGTTTATTCCAGTGTGACACAAAGCGGTCTGGCTGAGATAAGTCTCCTTCCCAGTCAGAATGTGTGACAGATTCCCAGCATCATAATGTATTGCTGGGAAATGAAATAATATGTGACCTTCTCAGACAATTCTCTTTCCAACAGGGGTGGCATTCCTTGCAAGTTAGCTACCAAGCCACTTAGCATTGTACTGTTAGAAACAAGAGCACTGGGCAAGATGTACCTTTGGGTGTGTTCTGGGAGCTGAATTCTTAGGTACATATTTAAAAACTTGTGCATGGAGGCACATGGGGAAGAGCTGTAGAGGGCAATAATTACTCCCACAACCTTTAATTAACAGTGAATGGCCTGTGCCGTGGATAATTCAGCTACCAAAAAAAAAATTCAGCCCTACCTGGGAAATATCTTTCTGGGACTTTAGAAATATAAAAGAGAAATGCTATGGCAGCGATCAAGTACATCACAACCACA